AGAAATTTCATCAGTGTGACATGAAGATCAGAGAGTAAAAACCTGTCTACAGATCTGATGATTAATGGTTTACTTTGTTGAAAACTTATTACTTGTATGAAGACGGCTGTCTTCTGGATTTCTGCACCATGACAGACAATGCAGAAATAAATTCAAAATGGAATATGAAAATACAATAAATAAAGTTTCTTTATGTTACTTCTGCACTGTAGAACTTAATTTTCAATTTGTCAAATAAGTCGAAAGAATCTACAGTAAGTTTCATTAATGACAAATCAAAATTTTATAAACATGAGCAGACAGTGGCAAATGTAGAAGGATTTCAGAAGAATCTGCAGAAGTCACTGGAATATACAATTTAGTATAATGATGCTACTGCCTACCATTTTAAATTTCCAACTAGATAAACAATCTTGTAAACGAAGGAAACTGTATTAGCTGCACTTTCGTATGCAGATTACACCACACTTCTCTCATACAATATCCGAGCATGATTAAAAGTGCACAAGAATTTTATACAGACTGTAATTCAACAGAGGAACTGCTACTGTGTGAAGAGGAAATGCACAAGGGTCCGTCTATTTCACATTCACCTATGTTTCTCCTCTGAAATAAACCAAAATCGTTCAACATAAAGATGGATATTACAGTTCTCTGTCTCTAGTTTTACCCAACATGAAATTAAAGCTGTTAAAATACTTACCCACAGCACAAGAAATGTATGTTAAAAAAACGATATCACATACAATGCACAAATTCTGTAAATACCACAACCAAACCAAAGACTTAGATGATGAGGCAGGACCTGTTAGACCTGTCATAATCTAATCTGGTCAAAGCTTAGATGCCAGATTTCTATATCGCATGTAATTCAAGACTGTAATATACGCAAAATATTAAACAGTTAACACTTTTTGTTTTATGTTCTGACCACGATCTTGCATTACTTAAATTTTTTAAGAACAGACTAACAATTCTTGCATGGCATCTGAAAATGATTACGGCAACAAGGCTTAATGATATTTGGTAGCTGCCAAGTACTTCAGCAACATCCACATAAATGTTCTGGAACCTGGCACAACAGAACACTTTCACACTAAAAAATCACATTCGCTCCTACTATGGAATTATGACGTTTCAAGACGTCAGTAGTATGTTAGTGTAGTTGCCATGTTATGAAGCTGGAATATGGCAACAACATACTAGTACTGCTGTTATGGCAGCTCAATAGAGTAGTAGCACTAACCTGAAGTATACTTAATTCAGAGTACTGTAGGATTAGAAACGTGTTTCTCAGCGTTTTCAATGACACACCAATTAATGGTATGGTTCAGTGGTTGATATTCCTGCTTTGTACTTCAAAGGCACTAGGTTCAATACAATGCCTAATTTACTATTCAAAAATCATCTTTCCATTTGAGACTACGCAGCTGAGAAAGCAACTCTGAATAAATTTGGAAGTTTCATGTCATGTTCCTACTCCAACACCAAGAAATGTCATGGGGGTCCACTTACATAATATTTATGGTTTCGGCATCGGATTTTGAAACTTTAAATTTATGCATTCTCTGTAGAAAATGCACAAAATGAGGCTGTGTCATTCTGTCCGTCCACATGCATGTTTCATCTCCAAAACAGATTCAGAAATTAGACATTGTACATGTCAGGAAACATCACATTAGTCCAGAACAGTCCAGTACAAATGCCTACGTTATATGAATGTTAAATAAAACTATCAAATTTCCAAAAATGGCTTATCATGCAAAAAAATGTGTACGTTTATATTATTTACTTTATTTGTTCTTGGTATATTTAACACATTTACTGCTGCTTGAAGCACGTAAGTCATGCATCTCCAACTCCGAGCAGTGATAACTCACATGCACAACATGGAAGTCTCGGCAGCTCTGCCTGTCTGAACTGATCAACAGTGCAGTTTAGTTTTATCTCACGGCAGTGGCACTAAGATTGTGACTCATGGTGTATGAGCTTCTCTAAGTTATATAATGTGACAAAATACATGAAAAATTAAGTATGTTTCTCTGTGCTGTGGATTAGCTTTACCAACAACAGATCTGCATCTAAAAAAAATAATACCAACTGATAAGAAATGCTGCATATACTGATTGAAATGCAAAGATCGTAGCCTACCTAAACTCGTGTTATAACCCTACCAGCTGAAAAATAATATATACATGGTGTTTCTGAAACACAAAGCACCACTTTAGAGGTGCGTTCTGTGCACAAAAACAATCAGAAATGTCTCTGTATCCTTAGACACTTGATTTTAGATCTATGGCCCACAAGATCACCTGACTTTAGGGCATTGTGTACGCTATGCCAGAATACAACCGAGAGTAGAAGACAGATGTGAGTTAACATGCCTGGAATTTTTGAGTATGTGCGATAATCGCTAATGAGATGCAGTGTGTTGTGTGGAAAAAGGACATCTTTAACATTCTTTTGTAACTTTTCAAAATAGTATGTAATGTTGGAATCAGTGATTTTAAAACAAACACTTTCCTGTGGATATGTTTATATTTTTTCATCTGTCTTCTTCCAAAATAAAATGCGAGGACCTGTGTTTACACAATTTTTTTGTTTTTGTTTTTGTGCACAGAACATGTCCCTAAAGTGGTGTCATGTATTTCAGAAATGCCCTGTGTGTGTGTGAAAAACAAGACAGAATCCCTTCCTGTCTCTCAAATGTAACTATTTCTTCAGCATTTGTACACATTAATTCCCTTATTTTTGGCACTGCCAGTTTGGTTTACATAAAGAAAGTTACAATATCTGTACCCATTTCTGCTACTGACAAAGAATAACAATATGAATTATTATTAGTATTAACAGTCACTAGCAAGTATAATACACAAATATTACAATGGACGGTAATAATATATTGAAAAAATATGATCAGATTTTGCAAATGCAAGATTGTGAAATGGATGGATTTACAAGTGATAATTTTGGACAAAAGTATCAAAAATGTTACATACTATTCAGAAAATACGAAATCTAAGACCAAGCACTTACTCATTAAGTCACATGTAAACTGACAAGAAAATGTGATAAAATTTTTTGTATACAGATATGCATCAACAAGAGTGATGTTGGCAGCACCTACAACCTGAACAGAAAACAGAAGCCGCCAGCTGAACAATAATATTTTACCTTTAGGTTAGGTTAAAGTACAGCGGTCTCTCACTTATCCGAGAGTGGATTAACCAAGGTCTATCTGACATAAACAAAAATTAATTTTGAAAATCTGTTGTAAAAATTATTGTTTAAGAAGAAAACAATAAATACAACAATTTTGTATCATTTAATGTATTAACATAAATCAATTTTTGCTAAAATCTGAAATTTACTATAGAATGTTATTACTATTCATTGGAATTCTTTTTAAAAATAGCTGGTATGTAATGTATTAAATTTTATATAAAATCCTTTTTTATTGGTAAATCTTTTAAAAATTTAGTGGTGTATGTCTGTAAATAAACTCATATACTTTTTACATTTGCATGTTGTTCTGTATTTCTTGCAGATTATCTGGGCTTTCAGTTATATCCAAGATAATGTATTTCCTAACCAACCCAGATAATCGAGGAGCCTAGTGTAATATATTACTGTTTCATTTGCAGCCACTGGCAGGTTTTCAGCACTGCCAACTTCTTTTGCTGCATACCTCCACACACTAGAATTTTACCAAGAATCTAAATGATTTGAATGTCAATTTGGAAAGTCGATTTCAACCATAACATTACAACAGTAAAACAAAGTGCATGAGTGTGGTACAAATGACAATAGGATTTCATATTCTGGTTATATTTGAAACAACCAAATAATGACTATAAAAGTCGAATTTGGTCCAAACCTAATCTATCCTCAGGATCAATCAAAATACCACGTAAAATATGTAAGCATATATTCCCACAGTTTCCTGTGTCTTCCATACAACCTTCTTACTTGTATTATTGATATAATACCATCTACTTATGCAAAACATCCACGTACCTGTACTGCTACCATTTTCTTCATAACTTATTAACAACCTATGAACTTTGGTCTCTTGCAAACTCTTAACAAATATATTTTCTCCCTTTTATAGAAAGGTGTTAATAAAGGCATGAAAAGTCTTCACATCAGCCAATCCTTAGAAAGAACATCGGCTCGTACAGAAGACAAGACAACAAACAAAATAAAAAAAACACACAATAATCACAAGGTTCACAACAACATTCATGTTCAGAGAATGAATTACAATGTTAAAGGAAGGTAACAAAATATGACGCAAACTAACTGTATCCATACCTGCTACTGCTCAATACATTCAAACATCACTATAACAATGTAGTTTACATGACCAGAGTACAGCATGAATTTTATATTCATAACCTGTACAATCATACCAAAAGAAGAAATCGTCGGGCCGACGTGCAATGCAGAGCCTTGATTTACTTCTTACGACATCCCTCATGAAACCGTCAACCATTCCACTCATCACAACATCCCAAGCAAATCTTGAGCAATAAATTAATTATTTCCCCCAGAAAACATCACGATACCCCAGTCTGTTCTCCTCGTATGAAATAAATAACTTTAAATCTGCACTCCTCACGAAACAGTGCATGAGTTACGTCCTGTGCAACTTGTTCTTGACGAGTCCATTCCCGGAGGAGAACCCGATGAAGACGGAGATGTTGCTCCAGTTGGAATACCTCCCACAAATTTTAACTTTTTGTGGTGTGCTGATAGTCCAGTCTTATTACCACCTGAACTTCGATTATGATTTAAAACATAACGGTGCTGCACTGATGTGGTGTAGCTTGTCATAGCATACGACTTCAGATGAGACTTTATTGCAGTTGGAAGCGGAAGTTGGTCAATGCCATAAACAGTTGTTCTGGCAACAATTGCGCGGCAGCATAATTCCTGCAAGCTCAGAACTGTTGGACATAACAAAACATAGAATATATGCTTATACATGATTTCTGGGACAAAAATAGAAGACAATACCGTCATGTAACACACTGAAAATACTCAAAAGAATATGAAGAAGGTTAAGTCAGTCATTAACAAAACTAGACAGTGGTAAAGATGAACGAAAAATTAAGAAAGGTTCTGTAACCTCAACAATAAATGTACAGTTTTAGAAATATCAAATTAATACATTCTGTCACATCACATGAACAGTACAATTAAATATTATAATTACAAACAAGACTACACTCATAATAATCATCATTATTTACAGAATGCTTAGAGTCATCTATTAAAATTGCTTCTACATAGCAAATAAAATATTCATATACAGAAAGTAAACAGAACTGATATCATACAACAAAAGAACATAGCTTCTCCAATATCCAAACTCCGAAGTCAATTATCTGCGCAGAACACTTTGCAAGAACTTCCTCATATTCACGATATTTCAGTCACATACAATAGTTTATTATTAAGTTATCTAAGTAAAATCAGCTAAAAATAATATTTTTCAGTTTACAGGTCATTTTCAGTCTCATAAATGACACAATAACAGTTAAAGTGAAGCCAGTTACAATATTTAAATATTATAATAAGTATGTGCTTACTAGTTAAAATTTGAGCAAGAGTTACCTAATCATTAAAATATCATGTAAGTTTGTGACAGGATATATGGATACCTGAAAACTGTTTTAATGTACCACAATTATTAAACCAAAGTTATATGTAATATTATCTTCATATACACTGATGTATTGTTCATATTATGGTGCATTTTTATGGTGAAATTCTTATCCTTAACTTAAGCATGTAATTTTTTTAAGCAATACAAGACAATCATCGGTTATCTGCAAAATGTCACATTTTCTAAATACTGAAAAAATAAACATTAAACATTCAAACAAAGGATGGTCTGATGTTCATTACAGTACTTCATTTATTATAATCACATATTTATTTTATTTATTTAGTTTTCTGTCTGATGACAGGTCCATATGAACAGGATCCTTCCATCCTTTTCTCTTCTCGGACTGGGACCTGTTCATATACGTTCTTGGCGGATGATCCAGAAGTGGTTTGCCATTGCCTTCTTCTGTGTGTGAAAGGAGTAATTGTTGGGATGCCACGGAGGAAAACTCCGTGTTGCCTAGACCACGGCCTTGCCCAACACAAGTTATAAATTCGGGCACCGCCGGGAATTGAACCCGAGACCCCAGGATTACAAAGCCAGCGTTCTAACCGCTAGACCACCGTGGCTAGTTGGATCACATATTATAAGATTTAAATATGTCTTTATGTTGCGTCTGCAATTACGTGTAGTGATAACATAATTTTAAAGGTTATATAAGTATAAAGACAGGCATGCTTACTTATTTGTCGATGTATTGTGTCTCACTGAACTGTCTGAGAGAGACTACCCATAATGTAGCAAATTTATAAAATGTAGTGGGCAAATCTGTCCCTCTACGTGATCGGGGGTTGATTTATATATGACTTCAAAGATAGGCTTATGATTATCATTATGTATATCATTCACGTGCATTTTTTTAAATTTTATTTACGTAGTATATGATATTCAAATATTTATTATTTTCACAATTTTTAGCATATCCATAGTTCTGAACAAATTTCCATATACATGCCCTGCATCAAAAATATGTTGATATCAGGGGTGTCTTTTGTTGGTGTGGCTGGCATGAATATGTTCATTACATTTATTAATATGAAATGTACATCCTGAGTGTCAAACACCATAATCTAATTAACATCCCATATAAAATAGCTGAATATAAAACAAAGTGATTCCATCACATGAAAAAAATGGATAAAAGATTTGCTGAAAGGTTTTACCAGTATACACCAAACACAGGAGAAGAGAATACACCATACAAACGACGAAAGGATCATTCTGAGTCGAACCATCTAAAAAGACTAATCCTTGATGTTGACGAAGAAGATAATGATTATGATGTGCATAAAAAATATTCCTGACTTGCTATCATAATGAAATCAATAATACTTCTGCCAGTCCCTCATAAAACCATATGGTTCTGCAAACTGCATTCTGGGACTGATCTTCTTCTGAAGTTACATTGATCTGCTTCCTAATTACAACAAAGAAAATTTGATACCCACATATGTATCATGTGCAGTGCATACTCACCTTTGTTTGATCTCCACAGTCTTTCCATGCCATTGCGATGTAATGCCATGCGAGAGAGCTCACTGAAACTCTCACGGATATTGAAGTTACACAACGGACTCACTTCAAAGAATGCCATGCGATTTTTTGCGGCATAAATTTCTGCTTCTTGTGCCCGAACCTGACGCTTGAAAGCTAGGTGAAGACGATTTCCGACTAGTACTTTTGGAACACCAGGTGCATGCTACAATAAATGAATGACCATCAGCAAAGAAGAACGTAACACTGCATCACAAATAATGGCTATACATGCTGACATCAAGTTAAAGTATGTAACTAAAATTCCGATTATTATAAGTCACATAATATTAAAACGGTCAGCAAAAGAAAAACTAATAATTCTATGGTGCATTTAGCATTAAGAACTGACTGAGCTGCTTCATAAGCTGTTACTTCCAATGTCACCACTAAAGTGACTAACATGAATGATGGCAGCTAAGAGTTTTGGACACTACCGAGCATCTAATGTCACGAGTCTTCATGAGCCAATCAGCTTCAAAGAGATGGTGTATAAAGTATTCAGTTACTTCAAGCACAAAGCAGACACCACTTGTATCTCATTCCCTCTCTGAACCAACTTCCTTACTTCATGTCAGTACTTTGGTACAAAATCAAATTTTCCAATTTTGCTTTCCCACAATTACTGTAACATAGTTACATTTGTTCTACAAGATGGCATAACATCCACACCCAATATAACAATCCTAATATATGTATCATCTATAGCTTTCATGGCAAATAAATTCAACAAAATCTTATCAGGCATTAAATTGAGTCAGTTGGTTCAGACCACCTGATGTGCCTGAATGTCCAAGAAGACTTTGCACACATTTACACACAGAGACAATGTCCAGATTCAGTTACTTACCTCTTCTACTTCTTTCAGCCAGCGGTCAATACCATCAAATGACCATTTATTTGTGATGTCATATACTAACAGAATACCCTGTGCTCCACGAGAGTATGATCGAATGATGGTACAAAAACGTCCTTGTCCAGAAGTATCCCACAACTGCAGTTTTACACGCTTTCCATCTAACAGTATTGTTGTAGTTTTGTATGCTGCAAATGAACACAATAACATTTAACCACCATGCTGCTCTTCATAAATAATAATTACAAAAGCTTTCATGTATCAAATCCTTTATTCTTTTGCATGCCAGCAACACACATGCATTAACAAAGTTTGTGTTCTTACCACCTCCACTGCAAAAAGGCGATTCTGCTGACCCATCTTCAAGACCACTTAAGATTTCTTGCTTCCCTACATCACTGTCACCAACTAACAAAAATTTTAACAAGTAATCATATTGTTTTTGTTGAGAAATTGGTCTTGGCTCCAAAGCCATAACACAATCTTTTGTTTCTCTTGCGCATAATAGACTTTTTCTTCAGCGCCTAATCCTTAACCAGGTAATTACTATCACCGTGGCAGGTACCTTTTCTGTTGTATTTTGAAGCGATGCCTGCACCTTATATAAAATTGTACACATAATAAATCATTGTGATATAAATTTCTCTTTCTGATGTCACTGTCCTACTTCGTTTATCACCGCTTTCTGGACGTAATGGATGTGCTCTAGAATAGATATCAAAATATTCAGACAATTGAGCTCAGAATTGCGCACGGATGAACTACGGTAATATAATGTTCTAGGTGACCGTGAAATAGGTGCACATTTACTCGCAAGATGTCGCTTAAATATTAAAATAGTCGTGGTTTAATAAAGAATTGATTACCGACAAAGGTGATGGCTGTTTTTAAAAACGATGTGATGTGCATTTCCAGCCTACACCCCAACTCTTAACAGTTTGCTGCCTTTTGAAAATATGGTGCAAAATTAAACGTAATAATTTCTTTGAAGTACCATAACCCAGTTTCAGTTTATTTAACCTCAACCTGGTAAATGTCAATATGGACGCTGTGAAAGGGGAACCAAGGGGCACATTGTTTGAAATTGTAGATAAGGTGTTATTCGCTAATTTCGTAAGTTTTGAAGCATGCAATAAGTTTAACTGTATTAAAAAGCTTATAAAAGTTAAGTTCAAAGCCCATTGTATACTTTCTTCTTGAATTAATGATAAGCACAGTAGCTATTTTACACGCTATTGTAACAACTTCTTAGACCTGATCATGTAATTATTTGGCCGGTCACAGTGGCCGCGCTGTCTGAGGCATGGGACTTGTGCGCTTGGACACTGACCGTGGGTTCGAATCCTACTCAAGATGTAGATGTTTGTCCCTCTTCTTTCTGTGTGTTGAGCTGTCCTGTGTACAGGTAGAGGCCTTGGCACGGTTTGATCACATCCAAGGACGCCTACCAAATGTCTAAATAGATTATCTAACTTCCAAAAGAGGCGGCCAAGGCCCACACTGAATTGTAGAGCCACAGATAATGATCATGTAATTATAGTAGGAGGACCAGGTACTAACCTAGATAGAGACTGAAAATGACATGGACAGCATACAAATGTTGGTTTTGTTGGCCTTCTTGAGCGTCACGACAGGCCACATGAGCAAGTGGATAAATAGAATAGAATTTATTAACATTCCATAGATAATTCATAGGCCTAAGCCACGGATGTAGAACATAGCATAAATACATTACTTGTTTCCAATACAAATGAAAATACAGGAGTGCAAATATGAGACTAAAAGAATACCTCGAATCTCACTCTTACTCCATAGAAGAATGGACCTCAACCAAAAATTCTCAGCTATTATAAATACATGCGAGCAATATGCCTTCTTGTATTGTTATTTTTGTGGTAATACTGTATATACTGTAATTTATATTTGTATTAGAAAGAAGTATTTGTGCTGTGATATGTTCTACATCCTTGGTTGGGCCTATGAAGGATCTATGCAATATAAAATAAATTCTGTTCTATTCAAACTAGCTTTCTAGCAATATGCTATGGAGGCCCTCCAATTAAATTTAATTACTATAAGGTATCTTTAAATATTACTTATATTACAGTTACCGCTACTGACCCGAGCAACAGCAGAAAATGAAGAGCCAACTGCAGGATATATGTTCAAAGAAATAGAAGGTATCCTTTTCATATTTAAATTATGGTCAACTGGGTTGTACCTCCATCTTCAGGTTAGAAGTTGCTGCTAGCCATCTCAATACAGCAATTGGTAACTTCGGCCCTTTTTCAAGGAAATCATTGTTGCAGTAAATATTATAAGAAGAATGATCAGTGAATATAGGCTTAGTTCCATAAAATTAGGACCAGCACATTCCAAGCAGTTGTTAGAAGGATACAGGCAAGAGCAGACATATTGCCTCAACAGTCTCAGATCATACCTCACTGGAACAAATAGAGGGCAGAAGTAGTTTATGGTTTATAGTAATAAGAATGCCACTGTTGTGTTGTTGAGTAAATCATCGATTCTATTAATTTGTTCCACATGATGCCATATTAATAGTTCATATAACATTTGTACATCCATGTACAGAATATAATAATGGCAGAGATCTTTAAGGTATTCCATTAATTTTCAGTATTTACCCTAACTTAATTGTCAGAAATTACCTTTCAGCCTCCACCACACTGTCAACAGCTAGCAGAATATTTGAACCGGAGGTTGGAGAAACCTTCAGCTTGTGTTAAACTGAAGGTAATTTTCAGAGGAAAGAAGCAACATTAAAGTACCCAGCTATGCTCTAGAGCAAGTATTGTCTGTATTTTTGTTTCAGGTTTTGAAAATAATGCTGTATTTGATCCAAAATGGTCACGTAAGTTTCCGAACCTATTTAAGAAGAAATGATGGTTATATAAAGCTGGCAACAATGTATAATGGTCCACCTGATCCTCTTCTTGGTATGGCTCCATATGAGAACATCAGAACAACTGCGCAGGTAATGAGGGTGCTTTTTCTCACCCCTCTGGTTCTTGTGAACGAGATCTTTGTTCAAAAAGTTATCAGGGCTGCTTCCTTACATCAAGACTTCTTTGTCTTTCCATTACATCATTCACAATCAACATGCTGTTCTCTGCAGTTGGCAAAACACTGTAAATGAATAAAATAATAAGAAATATACCCAGGAAGACCCCAGCCCTTGCTTTCAAATATTTGAACCAGTCCATCATGTTTAAAGCACAAATGCTGTATCTCTGTCATCCCACAAAATTTCAATTACTCTATCATAAGAATTAGAAGTGAAATGCTAGTTTTACATCCCAATGATTGATCACTTAGGTTATTAGTACGCTGTTTCAGATGCCGAGGAAACAGGACTTGTTTTTATGTTTATTTAACCACGCTGTTGGTAGCTTGGATCATGCAGCGTCAAATACGATTATCTGATTATCACAAATGATGAACGGGTGAAGTTTCGGAAGGTAGCGGTACCCAGAATTCAGTAGCATCGTACCATATGTAAACGAATTTTACATTACCTGAAAATCACTTATATCGAGATTCCCCGTTCACGAGTAATCTGCTGACTGCTGCCATCTGATCTGTTCATCATATAAAAATGGGAAGAAGGACTTGGGTCGAGGTTCACGATGCTTGTAATGTTTAAGGAACTCTTGGACATTTTATTTAGTCCAGACATGATTCAGCAAGATGAATCGCAAGACTTACTGGAAACAGGCGAAAAAAGTAGACCGCAGCTTGGAGGTTTGGGTTCAGCTGGGAATACAAAAGGAAAATATGAGGGTTTTGGCAGTAGTCCTCTTGATAGAGAAGGTAATGTATTTCAAGTGCGTTTATTTTTTAACAGAATAAATTTCCAACTTGTATCTTTTAATTGTCCATCCACACTTATCACAATACTAGTATCAAAAAAGTATTGTGATAAGTATAGATGGACAATTACAAGATACAAACTCTCAATTAATTTTACCTTGAAACTAATGCATAGAGAATATTTTCTAATGTTCTGTGGATAGTTAATTCGCCTGAATGTTATATGTTGATAACAATTAAATAAAAAGCCCATATCAAATATTAGTTTAATATAAATTAAACGTTGCAGTCTCATGCCATGTTTCGTGGGTCTCAGTTGTAGTTGGAGGAGAAGACCTCCGGATATGATACGGAAGGTAGCTGCAAATATATTGAATAAATAATTATGGGCAGATGACAGGGGGACGGTAACTTAGCTTGGGAAGTACAGAAAGTAAGATTATCTCACAGGTCCAATACCTGCTCAGAATATGAAGGTCGCAGAATCAAGGTTGAAAATAAGATTACAATGTAATGAATTCACAGCATGAACTCGGTATTGCTCACAGATGTCTTTGTCCTGTTACAGAAACATTTAAAGGAAAAATGATAGACATGTTGGAGAAACTGATGCATCCAACAGATGAAACAGCTGAGAAGATAAAATCTGCTCTGACAAGTTCACCTGGCGAATACGAAGCTGTTCCCGTGGACCTAATGACAGATTCAGATGTTGACATTCAGCCTGCAGAAGCACAGAAAGCAACAGTCAAAATAAAAGGTTCTTTGCAAGTTGTGTTCAGTTTTACATGTGTAACCTCTATCAGTCGTGCATCGCTGCTCGACATACAATTTCGCTGGCTGTGTGTCATGGTGACATACCTCTAAACAAACCCCTTATTTAATGACTGGTCTGCAGTCCCTTAGTTTTAGGTTTTAAATCACTTGAAGTATTGTATTGTAACTAAGTGAAAATTTAATTCACATTTAAAATTTTGGCCAAGGTTAGAGTCATTGCGTTCGGTATCTAAGACTTTCAGCTTAATTTTATATCTTTAAATATAAATATGCAACTTTCTCTGTTTATTGATCACATCCATTGTCCCCCCAGAATGAATTATTAATTAAGAATCATTCATACCATGAAGGTTTAGCTCCATGCATTCTTAAACTCAGCACCAGACAGAGGTGAATAGTCAACTTCAGAGCTTCGGGTACCCATCGTGGGAGGTTGGGTGGGCCTCAGAGCTGGTCTCGACGCAGTGGCGAGAAAAAGCTCTGCAGAGTATTCGTGTTAACCACGATAGCTGTGTTAGCCCGGCTAAAGCTTTTAAAAATTAAAAATCCGCGGTTCAGTGGGACTCCATACAATGGAACTTAGCAGAACTGATCATATAACACGATGCTAGCCAGCTCTAACCACTCAGGTGTCGGTAATCAGCTAGTTGAGGTTTATGGTAGTGGCAAGAATATCAAAGTAATGGCCTTGCAAGTAACATTAGTTACTCATTTCTTGTAATTACTTTAAAGAGACGACAAGCATACAGACTTCTTACAGAGTTCAAAGTGTACATTCACATGATATCCTATAGCAAGAAAAACTTTAAGTAATTGTATATGACAATAAGCGCTTTGTCCTCAGTACTTACCAATTCAATGAAGATAATCATCCCCTAGTCGTATTTGATGCTAAATAACCATTGCAGTTGATACAGTGACATCAAATAATCTATGCAGCTAGAAACATCATTTTCTATACTTTAAATGTCCATACACAATGCTCCTACCGATTGTCCCGTTAACACTACATTGAAGTGATCCCTCCCAACGCTTCCAGCTCATGTGCCGGGCCGCGCGGGTGGAGGCTGGGAATCCGATGATGATATCCAGCAGGAGGAAGTATCAGAACTACAACAATATTCATCTAGCAAGAGAGGAAGCAATGTGTCTGTGGATTCGCTTGAAAAGTAAGACCTGTCTACTAAGCATGCACAGAGAGACATCGAGAAAGACATTTATTTGGCTGTTGCAAATTGCCTTGCCTAATAACTTTGTGTGGTATTTCGGAACTATTCCTTTTACATTCTGAGAAGAATACAGATTGAGAACAGGCCACTGAAGCATGTATTTGGACCTTTAATGGTGGAAGAAACAGAAGACCGATGTTTTCAATGATTTTTCTCAGTTGTAAGGCAAATGCCAGGGTATAATTCAAAATAGGCACGACCCATCTTCCCCAATCATTGAGGCCTTCAGTTGAAGTGATCCCCTTCCCCCCTCCCCCTCCGAGTCACAGAGGCAATCAGCCAAAGTGAGCTCAACACTTCTGGGTTCAAATTCCAAATGGGTTTCTTGTGAGGGAATGGCGTAACCGAGCAAGGGACAATGTCCTGCACCCTTTGTTAGCTTTTTGGTTGGTTGTCTGGCTGAGTGACTATTAGCTTCTCAAAAAGGACTGCTTCATGGAGTTGTTTTAAAAGTGGGTTATACAGTTGCACCACCTTACAGGATAGAACCATCAGCAGCAGAGGTGACACCTGTGAAGGAAATTGTGAATGAATTCTGCATTCTACAGGAGTGGCCAGTACCCCTGTCTCAACTAAATGACGCATGTAAAAAGTGAGTGGTTTAATGTCTCATAGAATAAAACTTTGGAATCTGTGTGCACAGAAGTACAAACACTGAGATCTTCACCCTCCTCAGGTTTTAAGAAGTGTAGATACTATCAAATACTAGTTTATGGCATCAAATGTTCATAATTTTTCTCTTTACAAAAAAATTTACGTAATCTCACTTTCTGTGATGCAACACACATTCCATTGTGGCATACCTGGAAACACTGTTACATATAATTTTCTGGAACCCCCTTCATTGGGGAGGTTCACTAAAAAAATTTTGACACATTCCGATTTTTGTAAAGATTAGGTAATATTAATGGAAACTTTTGCCATGGAAGTGACTGGGTAAGGAATCCTCCTGATTTCATCACCAAGCCAAATAGGCACCACACAGAGGTCATTGGCACTATTTGCAAACATCAAATTCTGGCAAATGCACCAGAATTGTTATTTCATGTATTCATAACCTGTCTGCTTGCCACTTAGATGTTTTGATACCATTCTTGCGCACACTTTCGTCATGCTCGGATCTTTGGTCAAAGTCAGTCTCACAGTATCTTCATTCATCTTCAGTTCTACTGCTACCTTCTAAACAGTGAATTGATTGTCATTTGTCAACATTTCAGCTACTTTCTTCACATTTGGATCACTTATTCATGTTGGAAGACGGCCATTATTTTTGTGATATGTAATGTATTTTCTTTAGTCTCTTGAAATCACTTGACACACACAAATAATTCTTTCTCAATAAATTTCCAGTTAAGTTTTTGTATGTTTCATTGTCTCCAATTTCACACTAAATATTTAATGTTGATTCGCTGCTTCAGTGGTCCCCAACATTTTTTGTGCCTACGGGTACATTTGAGAGTTTATGAGATCGTGGCGGGCACCAACCAATTAACAAATCCAAATTGTCTTTTCTCTGGACAAATAAGATATGGAAGGTTTCGCGCTGCATTTCATCAGCCAGTTTTTCAAATTTGGGAGTGTAGGATGATGTTGCTGCTCGCAAACAATCGTCAAGATGGACGTCAGTAAGTCGAGATCTGCGCTTTGATTTTATAATGTTCATGGTTGAACGGCCTTCATTATTCAGTATAACCTCTTTCCGTAATGTGGGCACCCAAAAAAAGCCTTGGTGCCCGCAGGCACTGTGTTGGGGACCACTGCTCTGCTCTATCAGTTTGTTGATGCAGTGTGTTGGATCTTTGTCAGAAACAATACACTGCTTCAACATAATACTTACGTCCATAAAACAAACTGAATCTTACTTGACACAAAACTTCTTTATCATGTAGTCAACGTGAACCACATATGCCGACTGCTGCAGAAACGTATGTCCAGTTAGTTGTAGCCTCAACTAGAATGTGTATACTTCCTTTTACCATAATTTTCCTGAAGCATAAATGAGTGAGATTTCAAGTGACCACACTGAATGTTCAGTCTAGTGTTTATCTTCTACATTAAGAAATCAAAGCCCATTAATCCGCCAGTTAACAAACACTTCTGTGACTTCCAGTGGACATTAAGTCAGATGATTATAGACAATCAAGTTTCTAAGCGAGATATATACATTAAAGCATTATGGTTTCTTTTTCTCTAGGTCCGCAACTCTGAACTGTGGTGATGTTCTACATGCAATTGGCAATATTTTGCTCCAGTCCCCCAGCAAAGTCTCTGACATATCACTGACACGTGCGCTGTTAATGTTAGAATGGTTTCTAAGAACTGATCTTATTACCCCAGCTGCCTTCTCAAAGGCCATTTCAGTGCCACTTAATCGCGTGTTAAAATCGGAATCCATCGGACAAGATGTAATGGTAAAGGCTCAGAAAATCAGACTGATCTTGGACAAACTGCAGCCAAGACAAGGTTAACCCAACATTCAGCGATTTGGGTTGAAGTGTAGTAACACAAAAGGTGATAAACAAAAGTATGAATATGCATTAATTAAAGCGTATTTTAAAATCTGTTTCCATCATTTGCCATGTGTTGGAAGATCGTCTAAATGAAAATTTATTGCTAAACCTCGTTCATGAGCAACTCTGTGAAGCCCATCCTTTGACGGCAGTTCGAACAGCATTACCAGATGTTGCTCTGTAGCGGTTAACTCTTGATTTTGATCCGGGAGGTCCCTATCAATAGGCTATCCATAAGTTCTTTGTTTTCCCCAGTCAAACTGCTGAAAGAGTCTTAAAACAGACCATCGCACCTCCACATCTTCCCTGATCACATGATATCCAACGTTACACATCCTACACAGCAGACAAAGGTTATTATAAACGAATCCGGACACAAACACTATTGCCTGCAAAAAATATTTGAATATGAGATTATGGGAACTAAAATATTACACAATTCCCAATGAAATTAAAGTTATTTATTACAATATGACTGAAATCGACATTAACGAAGGGCACGTGCAGATTGTCTGGATATTTGGTGGCTACAGTCGTGTACATCTTTCGCACTTTGTGTGAACAATGCAGTGGTTAGACTGCCTTTCCCAGGTGCTCGGCTGCGGCAACAGCGAGACTACAGCACCATCGTAGAGTGAGGTTGCGATACAGGGGATGCTGCAGATGATTCTCACTGGCTCAGATGTTGTAGTTCTCTGGATATATGACTTTGACACAATTAAGTGGTCAATTTTTGCGTTACACACTTTGCTTAAAATGTAAAAATATTTGGAAGTCACGTTATTATGACAATGCATAATATATGGTAATGTACAAAGGATAAAACAAATGTTCAGCAACTTCAATAAATCTGTTTATTATGAAGAATAGGACCGGACCTCTGTACGATACAATTTCCTTCTACCTGTGCATATTTAGAATCTGGTACTGCTGCCTTCTTCCTTAACGCTGTCTTGTAGGAGATAACACTGCAATGACAGAAATGCGAACAGGGCTTCATTTCTTCACAACTTGAATTACATCTTCATCATGCATGATATGATGTACACCCACTCGCTGCGGTGAATATTTGGTACTTGTTCCCTGTAAAAAGAAATAAAATTTATTACCGTAAGAAGCTTTAATTTTATAATATCCGCTGAGAAATTAATTTTTTTTGCAGAAATTGGTAACACTACTGAGGTGGTGTGCTGGATCATGCAACTACATGATTTAGTAGTTTTCTATCAGACAGTAGTCACACAGATCCATAAGCAAGCGCGGTGTGTAGCGGGACACCTGGGTTGCATCTCCCATCAAAACCAAATAAATATTACTCTACTTGCATTCACTTTTTTAAACCTTCGTAATGTATTACGATGTCTGTAATTACGAGAAAAATTTGCCTGTTCTTTAAATTCTCATTACTCTGTACTAAGGTTGCACTTATTTTATCAGTATGAAATTTTAAGATAATCCCCGGTTTTCAGATTTAAACTATGAATAAATGATAAATGGGACATTATTCTAAAATCGTACTAATCGCCGTTCGAAACTCACCCATACAAGTGCATACTTAAATGCAGCTGCAAGTGTGCGGTGGATGGCATGACACACGTGTTCCACCGTTACACCGCGACGCAATATGAGACCATCGTCAAAATCTGGAGGGTCGCCTGGTTTCTTGGTGTACACCCTGATCAGCGACAGGTATTCCCAAAGCTGCTCCAATAAGTAGTCCAGGTTGAGTTTCATGTTACAGCTATTAACAAACAGTGGCAACTGTTATCTTCATTATTTTCATGCACTGCGACGTAATTTGTACTAACCGGTACATTCGCCATTCCCTGCATCAGGCTTACTTATAAAACAAATCAAATTATTACGAATAGTAAGACTGTTTATCTGACAAAGTTCCGAAAAAACAGTCGTGGCGAAAATAATTCAGTCATGATTCCACACCCACTATGTGATTACTTGTGCACTTTGTTTAAAGAATACGTTAAAACTCCGCTGATTTCTTTTCTATCTATTACGCGATACACACGAAGAATAAAAAAAACATGTGAGTGCAACATTTTATTAACTTCCACATACGTGTCACAAATGTAGTTAATATCACTTACCTTACTACTACACTATTTGGTTGACGAGCAATTCTGTCCACTTCTTCTATTGATATCTGATCAATTTTGTTGTAAACATAAAGGCACGGCAGGTAAACGCGGTTTGCAGAAATCACATCAATCAATTCATCGGCGTTGCAGTCCTCACGAAACAAAACCTTAAGGCAATGAATGCATGTTAACGATTAACCTCAGTGCAACAAATGGCTTTATAAAGAAATTTTAGAATAATGAAAATAATGTTCGTCCCCTATCAACGAATCGTACACTTATGAAAAAATATTTCACACAAATATTAATATAATGAAATTTCAAGTTTAGTTTAACAAAATTCTTTAAAAGTGTTATTCAGAATGTGTCAACGCTTCCTGAGCAAATACTCTATCAGCAACACAAGTCACATTTTACAATTAAAAAATACCAATTTTTCTTTCAAACAGTTTGTTAAATGTTCACTAAACGTCACAAGTACACAAATCTCCCCACGTACTGTAGTCGAGACATAAGTTTAATGAACTATAACACAAAACCATGTTGGTGAATGGAGTTTCAGAACGTTTTGTGGAACATCATGATTTATTTTGATGATATGACAAACCAAACTTACAGATTCAATTTTGGTTTATAATAAATGGATTTTGTATATCAGACTGCAAATATTATTTGCTTGCAGATTTTTTTAAAATTGAAAACTAGTGCACGGAATACACAGTCCCTTCTCTAATCACCTATTATGAAAAGCGACAGTCACATTAAATGCAATTTGCTACTTATTCCGTACACTTTATTTTACTGGCAAGACTTAAGGTGCGAGTAAATCCATCTAGAACTATCTCCACAGGTGTCACTCAGTTCCACAGTAGTTCCCCCCCCATATCCATTACACACCATTCAGCAAGGTGTGCATTGGTGTTTAGCAGGATTCACGACCCATCAGTAAATGGGTTCGATCGGGACCGCGACATTTAACGCTCCTGCTGTGACCCCCTTTGCGAGATGATGATGAAAGTGGAGTAATTGTTGGGATGCCACGGAGAAAC